AACAACAACAGTCGTATGCTATTCGTCCTTTTACAACCAGCGTCATTTCACACCATGGTGTTTTCAAGGTTCCTTTGTGTTGTGGCATGTATCAGGACTCCATTCCTCTTTCTGACTGTGGTATTACATTGTGTATATATACCCAATTTTGTTTAGCCAGTCATCATTTGGTGAACATTTTGGTTGTTTCCACCTGTTGTGAAAAGTCTGTAATGAGCATTGTTTTTACAGGTGTTAAAGTAATAGCTCAGATTTATTTCATCCATTTAGTCAACTAATTATTTGTTGTACTCTTTGGTTTTGTTTTTGAAACTTTTTAGTGTGAATTGAGGAAGATTTACAGAGCAGATCATCAGTTTTATATTCAGTAAATCACACACTTCATTTCATCTCAGTGATTGCAACAGTTACCCCACCTCTTCCCTGTGGTTCTTACTTCCATCCTACCTACCTTCCCAACCTTTCTGAAATGTGTCCTTAGGTAAATGTTGCCCTTTTGGTCTTGAATAGTTGACCATTCCTTGGTGAACATACTTTACTGTCCCCCTTACCATCTGTGTACAGGTTAACTAAAAATCGGGTCATGAGGGTAAGTTCCATTCTAGACCTGAAGGGTGGCTGAGGGCCACAGCCTTGGGTTCCTCCAGTCTCTTTCTGACCAGTAAGCCCAGTCTATTTTGTAATTTTGAGCTTTGTTCCACATTGTGTCCCACTCTGTCTGGGACTGTTTAATGAGATCCCTTGCAGAGCAGTTGATAATGGTAGCCGGACACCATCAGTTTTTATGGTCTCAGAGTTGTGGAGACATTTTTTTGTACTTTTGTTGGTGCTGTTGAGAGGTTTATTCATGTCTCATGTAAGCCTGCAGTCTGCATGCAAGTGCTAAAATAGCTTATGTGGTTGCCAAGAAGCTTTCCTTATATTTTGTGAATTCTCAGATATCCGTCTAGCTTTGAGTCATACATGTCGCTTCTAACAGGGAGGCCTTACCTGGTCCCACTTCATTATTCTTTACTTACTTTGTTCTTCTAATACTCATCACTACATGAAATTATACTGTATTTATACTGTGTCTCCACACTAGATGAATGCATTGACTGTCACATGCTGTGTTGCCAGTGCCTGGCACATGATAGACATTTGATGAATTTCTAAATAATCCATGTGGTTAAACTGTAGGATTTAGTCACTTGTCTTCAGTACATGAAGCACCATTTGACAGGTATATCCATTTGCTCTCTCTAAAGCAGCATGGCTCAATGGAACTCTCTGTGGTAGCTTGTGGAGCATTTGAATTTTGCAGCCCATGTGACTGAAGAATGGAATTCTAGATTTAATTTTTAATCAATTTAAATAAGCACTTGCCTAGTGGCTATTGAAGTTATTGTTGAAAAGATCAGTGGAAGGTATTTAGGTATTGAAAACGTATTGTACATAAGATTTCTCATTAGTTAAATTTTTCTTGTGATATTTAGGTGTGTGGTTACTTAATAATTGCTTACTAAAATAAATATAAACTAAAAATCATTTAAGTATATAGTAGGAATTCCTGTAAGGGTTTTATTCTTTCATTACCAAACAGAATTTTATAAATATAATTGAAAGTAAATTTTTAGTTGTTTGTTGTTGTTAAGTAATGTCGAGTCCGTTCCGACTCATAGAGACCCTGTATAGGGTTTCCAACGAGCAGATGGTGAGTTTGAACTGCTGTCCTTCTGGTTCACAGTCCGGTGTTGATCCTACACTATTGATTATTTAGTCACTTTCTTTTTTTAAACATTTTATTGTGAATTGAATGAAGGTTTACAAACTAGATCATCATTTTTCAGATGTAACATGTAGCAACATATAACAACATGGTATCCCTCCACCGTTATCCCACTTCCTCCTTGTTGTGGTTCTTATTTCCACTCCACCCTCCTTCTCAACCCTTCTGAACTTTGTCCTTAGGTTAATGTTGGCCTTTGTTCTTGAATAGTTGGCCATTCCTTGGTGAGCACATCTTAATAGTAGTGTTGTCCCCACTATGTACCTGTCTACCACTGGTCTGAAAATTGAGCCATGAGAGTGACTTCCATTCCAGCCTAGAAGAGTGGCCAAGGGCCATAGTCTCGGGTTCCTCTAGTATTTTCTGATCAGGTCTTTTTTATAATTTTGAGTTTTGCTTCACATTTCCTCCCACTCTATCCTGGACCTTCTAATGCCATCCCTTTCAGAGCAATGAGTAGCCAGGCACCATCTAATTCTGGTCTCAGAGTCATGGACACTAATATTCACATGTTCCATTAGTCCA